TAATAACGTCCAAGGAACAAGCGCGATTTTTTTTTTTTTTTTTTTTTTTTTTTTTGTGGTTTTCGTGGTTTTTAGGGCTCTGAAAATGCGGTGTGCGGGGAGGGGGCAGCGAGGGGGTTTAAAGCGCTGCCGGGGGGAAGCGCCGCGGACCGACGGGAAGAACGGGATGGACGGGAGGGAACGGGATGGGAAGAACGGGACGGACGGAGGGGACGGACAGACGGGACGGGGCCCTCGCTGCGCCGCGGGGGGTGCAGAGGGGCCACATTTGGCCGGCGGGAGGAGCGGGCACACGGACGGGGTCGATGTAGGGCCGGGTTGTTCCCCAGCGGGGCCGAAACCGCCCTCCCCAAACGCGGCCCCGGCCCGAGCAGCCCCACGGCCCGGCCGGGGGGAGCCGTGGGGCAGGAGCCCTGCAAGAGGGGCCCGTGGGGCGGGCGATTCCACGTGGTTCTGCCCCTGCCTGCCCCACGGAAGGGCCGCGCGCGAAAACACCCTCAAAATAATAAAAATAATTAAAAACGAAAACAAAACAAAACAAAACAAAACAAAACAAAAAAAAAAAAAAAAAAAAAGAGACAGCAACAAGAAGAAGGGAAAGAAACAAGTTAATCTCTGGGGAAAACGGGGGTCCCAACACGGCTAGGGGAGCTCCGCTTTGAAACCAACTACGGAGACACTTCGCGAAGCCCCGCGCGGGATGCGGGGAGCTGCCCCCGCGGACACTTTCTTTTTTTTTCTCTCGATTTTGTTGCGTTTTGCCGCGTTTCCCCGCGCGCTGGTTCGGCAGCGCCTCAAGGGGCTGCCCCGGGGATCCCCCCCCACCCCGGCCAAGGGGGCGAACGGGGCCACCCGCAGCCCGCGACCCCCTCGAGCGCCCGTCCCCGTCGCCTCGAGCCCCGGCGCCCGCGCGGCCGGAGCCGCCGCCACCCGCAGCCCGCAGCGACGCCCCCGCCGGCCCCGGCGTTGGGTTCGGTTGTTTCCCTCTGCTCGTTTCCCACCCTCACCCCTACCCCGCTTTTTGTCTTGTTTGTTTTGGTTTTTTTTTTTTTCTTTTTCCTTTTTGTTAAACATATATTTTGTTTATTTTCTGAATGAACGTGGCACTTCTCCACCGGGTAGCAGGAAAAGTGTTAACAATAAAGACATTACACGGAAAAAAGTACGGTACCATCGCCTCTTGAGGGTTTCAGAAACCTCTACAGTTAATAAGTTAAATAAAGGGTTTGTACATAAATATTTGTCTAGGAGCCCTAGGATATCTACAACACAGTAAGAATCTACAGAATGACAAACTTTTACAACACTACACTGAGTGCAATTGTTTTATAACATTTCAAATATACAAAGCTCTGTTCTTTTTTTTTTTTTTTTTTATAACAATGGTATGTACAGAATCAATAATCACAGTTTAGTGACTTAAACAGTCCATATTCTAGCAGTGTATTTCCCTTTGGTTTGATATAAAAACCTTGGTTGGTGTAGTGATAAAGAATATAACAAGAAAAAGATATACCCTTTCCTTTAAGTGCACTGGTTATTTTAGAGCATCGAATTCACTGTCACTCTGCACTGGCAGCATCCTTGGTTATAATATGCAGCTCGCCGCATTAACATGTGAAATAGTTCCAGTGCTCCGAATAGATTAACTTAACATCCTTGCCATGTTATTTTTAAGAAGGTGTGGGTAGCTTCCCCCCCTCTTTTGCTTTTCTTTTCTTTTTTTTTTCCTTTTTTTAATTACTTTTTTTTTTGTGCCAAATGAACAGAAGGAAAAATATTTTATGTATGTAACGCTAATATATAATAATTTTTATTCTTTTTTTTTTCTTTTTTTTTTTTTCTCTTAATTCTCTGGAGAGGGAGTTAACAACGTCGTACATCTAAACAAATGCACCAGCCAAGGAATTCCTTATTCAGGAGCTTGCGAGGGCCGCTTCGCTCGTGTGAGGGCTGTTGCGAGAGGCGCTCGCGGTCTTCAAGTCAAGATCCCCCCTCGAGAACCTGCCCCCTACCACCCTGCCCGCCCCGTCTTAGTCGCTGGTCCTTTTTTTCTTTCTTTCTTTCTTTTTTTTTTT